TATCATCATCATCATCATCATCATCATCATCATCATCATCATCATCATCATCATCATCATCATTCGTGGTTTGGGCGCTTAGCATTGAAAAATTAAAAAAACAAAAAGATAAAATCACGAACCATAATTTAAAAAAGAACAGATACAAACACTGCAACCCCCCAAAAAAAACCCCAAAAACCCCCAAAACAACAACAACAAAAATAGATCCTACCAAAGTTTAAAAAACAACAACAAAAAACAAAACATAGAAAAATCTATCACGAACCATAATTTTGAAAGCAAACACTTCCACCTCCTGGGTGACCTACCTCAAACCGGAGTGACGCAGCCCAAGGGGAAAGCATAGCCAGTGTTGTCTTAATGTGATGTCCACTCTCCTGGTCAGCCTAGGATTGCCCACGGCGTGGCTGCCTGGGATGTCCGTTGAGGTCTCGGGCTGCCAACTACGAATGTTTCTTGTTTCTTGATCTTATTATTTTTCTTTATTATATCGTGGGTTTTTTTTTCTTTCTTATAAAAAATCGTACAACTATGAACTCATTTGCCGAGAACATGTTCTGTGCGCTTGTCATGCCATTGGTTTAATTTTCATCTTTAAATATCATGTTACATTTCAAACATTTTTCGTTTTGAATTCGTGTAATTTTAAAACGGTTTTATTTTGTCTTGTATTGTTAATAAAACAATATTCAGGTATGGTTTTTTAGCACTCGTGCAGATTCAGAAGCATGTTCTAATGTGCATACAGGTCAACCATTTTAAAAAAGCTGACTAAAAAAATAAAAAATAATCAAATCCGGTAACTTTCGTTTCATTCAAAGCCGAAACTGAGGTTATAAAAATACAACACTTTTTGCATGCCTTTTCAGACAATTCATTATTTTTTAAAGTCGTCACGTCATATCTAAAGGGGAGTATTACACGTTCAATTAAAACTAAGATTTGTCTGTCCTGTTTGTGATAAGAAAATAATAATGTCAATAATAATACAGTCTTGGCAAACACTAATTCTTTGTTGCGATCTTCTAGAAGAAGCGCGCATAAGAGTTACCCGTTTCTTATTTTGTTAATTTTACTAATACGCTGGTTCTGAATTTGAATGTTATTTATGCCACGGGACGTAGTTTTCAATATCTTAGTTATAAACGAGAATCGTATCTCCTGTAGGCCGTAGACAGTACAGCGGCCGAACGGACAGGAACCAGGCTATATGGTCGCTTTAAGGACAAGCGGGCTAACCCAGATTTCGGAGTTTCTAGAAATCTTGACCTACACCAAAAGTGGGCATTGCCCAACCTATAGAAGAAGTTTGGTTTCATTGGTGTGTATATTTGTTTGGTTATATAGAAAAAAAACCTCCTTGTCTTTTAAATAAACTGAAAAAGAGGAAAAACTTTGCCTTCAATTTTCTCAAAACAGCATTTTTCGGGATAGCCCACTTGTGCCTAAAAGCGATCATATCTGATCTGGATTGTGGCCCGCCAGTGGTTTTCAACACGCCCTGAAGCCCGCCAACTATACCATTTTACTCAACAACCATAACAACAATAACAGGGGCGTCATTACGGCTAAAACCATTAGCTGCACAACGAACACATCCACTCACAATATAAACAACAACAACAACAACAACTACGAAAACAACAACAACAACAACTACTACTACTACTACTACTACTACTACTACTACTACTACTA